AAGTCTGAATGCAGTTTTAAGCCATTAAAGTTTAATAGCTATTAAAGCTATTAGAGCCTAAAACTGCGCTCAGACTTTTGGGACATCCGTGTAGTGCTTTAAGACATGCAAATGAGGGGGCAGCGAGGGGGCAGCTAGGTGGCGCAGTGGATAGAGCACTGGCCCTGAATTCAGGAGGACCTGAGTTCAAATTTGGCCTCAGACACATAACACTTACTAGCTGTGTGACCCTGGGCAAGTCACTTAACCCCATTGCCTAACCAAAAAAAAAAGAAAGAAACTTTACACAGCTGAAAGGACTGAACAACAGAGAAGTGAGGAAATAGAGGAGACAAGTGTCAATAGCTTTTTCTAGGAATTTGGTTGTGAAAGGGAGGATAGGCATAAGGCAGTGAAGAGATAAAGTCAAATGAAGGTATTTTAAGGATAGGGAGATCTTGGCATGTTAGCAGACATCGGGAGAATAATTATGGGAGACAGAGAGATCATAAATTAAAGAAAGTTATCAAAGAGATAACTCCCAGATGAGACAGGAAGGGATGAGGTAAAGGGCACTAGTAGAGGGAATAGTGTTGGCAAGGAGAAAGTCTGTATTTTTCTCTGAGATATAAGAAAAGGAGTTAGAGGAAATCTGATGTTTAGAATTAAGGAGAAGAGGGAACTCATGATGGATGACTTCAGTTTCTTCAGAGTCTTTGCTGGAAGGCTGTTGTAGGTGATTTCAAAAGGGGAAAAGAAGGCTTAGAACAGATGCTGTGGGGAGTTTGACAGACAGTAAATCAAGGAAGAATGAAATGATTGGCCCAATTGAGAGGAGACAAAATAAATTCGTAGTGGACCTCATTAGTGTGGTTGTAGGACTTCCAGGAGCATTCAGCAACTCAAGTATGGTAATGAAGAAAACAGATGGTAGAAGCAATCCAGGGGTGGAAATTGGAAAGAGATGAGTGGTGATAGGACAGAGGGGCAACGGATTCAAGGGTAGCGGACAGTAAAAAATTGATCTCAGTCAAGATTTCAAAAAGGAACAGGGGCTATGGCCAGGGAAAACAGAGAGAGTTGGAGTGAGTATAAGAAGTGCTGAAGGGGTCGCGAGTGGAAGAAGTTTAAGAAGCCCTGTTCTAGGTCATGAAGGTGAAATGCTTATAGATGATATGGGTTCCAGAGTATAAGCATCCCTCTGTGTGGCTGTGGTTTGGAGTGTGAAAGTGAAATCCTAAGGATTTGAGGAGGTTGATAAGCTGGGAAGCTGGGGTGTTTGTGGGGACATCAGCGTGCATATTGAAGACCCCAAATATAAGGGCTGGGTTGGGATTGAGAGGTAGACTGGTAACTAGGTACTGATCTCCTTGAGAAAGGAAAGAGAAGAATCTGATGACTAGTACATAAAAGCATCTGAATGAGATCATATATCTTGATGGAATGGACCTCAAGTGCTAAGTGATGGTGGTAAGGAGAGGGTTAAGAGTTGGCATCGAGAATCCTGGCCCATTGTATCAAGAGACCTGAAAGAAAGTACATTCAGTACTTTCAGGATCTCTGCCTTTAGTAGAGAGGTCATCTTCTAGGGGTGGAATGAGCTTGTTTCTGTCATTGCAATGATATGGAGAGCACATGAGAGGAAGAGGCCTAAAGTAAATGATAGTTTGGTATCAGTTGATTGGGTTTTCCATAGAGATAGGGAGAGAGCTGGACAGAGACATGACAGGGATAGGATTGGTGTAGATGGGGATTAAGGTCTGGGAAATGGCAGCAAGGCAATCACGTTTTTGCCTAGACAGCTTTTAGCTCTGAATCACCAGACTTCAGGGTAGAGGAGAGTTTGCTGGCTGTAGGACAATGGATCAATTGTCACACCCTTTCCATTAGCAGTGGTATTTGTGCCCAGGCCTCAGCTCAGTGTTGATTTGATTATCATGCCCTGAGCAAAATGTGGAAGGGTGGGAGTGGGAGTCTGGGCCAAGTCTGGTAGTAAGGGGTGGTGGCAGGAAGCCAAATAGCGAGCAGCCTGGCATCTACAGCCTTAGTGGTTACAGAGGGCTGAGGCATGGTTTGTTTATTTACCCTCTCATCATCAGCAAGGTCAATTCTGTCCCAAGCCCTAGCTTTGACATAGATTTGATTTTCAAATCAATGAGAGTCCATAGGAATTTGACGCCATATGACAGGAGGTCTAATGTCTGGTAATTTGATGGTTATAAAGGACCTTGACACCATTCGTGTAAAAACCATCTCAGTACTTCAGGGTATGGAAAGGGTTACCTGCACTAAGGCCTGACTTTAATATTGGATTAGGAGTCAAAAGCCCTGGGTTAGAATCTTGGCACTGCTTTTAATCATGCTCTGGTGGTGATCCTGAGTTGTCTCAGACTATGTCAATGGATGCGGAGAAGGCTTCAGATATGGGCTTAGTGATGGACTGTGCATCATATGAGGACCAACCTAAGTTGTATGGGTTTATCACACGTTTGGCCCCAATGAGATGAATTTTTTGACCACAGTAACTCTCCAAGACTATCCACTGAGGCCAGAGGGATTGGGATCTGTGTTGGTGAAGGGATACCCACACTAACAAAACTGGAGATCCTTGGACTACTGAAGGAGTATTATATAAAGATTTTTGTTTGTGGTTTATAGGTATTATACTTTGATTCTGATGGCAGTATTGGAGCATAAACATTCTAACCATCTACTCTTTGAGATATAGATTTCGTTATTCAACAAAAGTAACAACATAAGCAAACAAAAAAATTGATTTACAGAAAACCATAAATTCTAGTTATTTAGAGTTTGTTTTAAAACATATATATTAACTTTAACAAAATAATGAAATGGCTTAGCTTGCTTCTGTTTTCCGTTCTGATCTCTTTTTCTTCTGTATATATTTTTTCAGATTTTGTTGCTGCTGTTGTTATTGTTAATTATCATTATTATTATTATTATTTCTTTTTCTTTTTTTTGGCAATTGGGGTTAAGTGACTTGCCCAGGGTCACACTGCTAGTAAGTGTCAAGCATTTGGTCTGAGTTCAGGTTTGAACTCAGGTCCTCCTGACTTCAGGGCTGTTGCTGTATCCACTGCACCACCTACTGCCCCATTTCTTTTTATTTTTACATAGTTGTTGTCCATGTGCTTATGGCCCTTTTATATCTGTTCTCATTATTCTACATTATTTCATCTCTTCCTATATTTGTGTTCTTTATATTTGTAATTTCTTATGGTGCAATAATGTTCTATTATATACATATATATATATATGTATGTATACCACAGTGTGATATGTTCACGCATTCTCCAGCCAGATATATGGGTTATCTTCAGTATTTTGCTATTACAAATAAGGTTGCTGTACATTTATTGCCTAGGTCAATTTTTTTTCTCTCTTCACAGCATCCTCGGGGTTTTGTCCTTGTAGTAGGAGTGTGTTTTGTTCTAAAGGAACCCAGGCTGTCCTGAAGCAATCATAACTCCCCTCTTGAATTCCTATTTTGTCCATTCATAATGTCTCTTAAATCTATCTCTTCTTTTAGCATAAGATATTTTAAGTTCCCTGTTTTTAGTTTTCTAACCTGATAGCACAATTCTGGGAAATCATAGGAAATGCATATTTTCAGTTCTAGAGTGATTCTAATATGAGACACAAGATTTTGTTTAATTTATTCTTGCTTGACCTTTGGGCTCATTGCAATCACATTAATTCTCATTTTATGTTCCCTTAAGAAAAAAATTCTTTCCTTTTCAATAAGGCTCCCTGAAAAAGCTCTTTTTTGGTAGGTTGGGGCAGGTAGAAAGGCAGTCTGTTTCAACTTATTTCTTCTGGAAAAAAAATGAAAAGCTTGGTAGAGAGCAAGGCATGGGGGATTCTTATTACATCCCTTACTTTGAAAGTGCAGTTTTTTTCTATCTATTTGACATGGGGAGAAGAATCTTTTACAAGTGGCAAAAACCCATGAGCATAAGAACTAGCCACTGAACACAAGCCTCCAGATTGGACAAGAACAGATAACGTGCAGTGGAAAGAGCTCAATATTGGGAATTGGTAGGTTGCTTGGCTTTGTACCTTGCCTCTGTTACTAATTGCTGTACCTCTGGTCTTAATCAATTTGCTATCCCTCTCTGGGTCTCAGTGTCCCATCTATAAAGTGAAGAGTTTGGCAAAGTGAGTACTGAGGTCCCTTCTAGCTCTAACATGCCTTTTAAAAATTTTATTTATTTTATTTTTATCATTTTTTTCTTTTTAAATTTTGAGTTCCAGATTCTCTGCCACCCACCTCCCACACCCTCTGAAAGGGCAAACATATGATATCAATTATACATAATATGACTTTTGGAATTTGAAAACTAGTTCATTAAAATGACATTGGGGTCACACTTGATAATATTGTCAGTTATAACACATACATACTATTTCACAAGGAAATCATACAATCGCCCAAGTTTAAAAGGAACCTCAGAGATCATCTAATCTAACCTCTTTCTATTGTAAACAAGGAGGCAGACTCAAAGAGACTGAGTGACTTGCCCAATAATATATGGAAATACGTAGCAGAGGAAAATAGGAAATAATTAGCACAGCCAGGACTCAACGCCATGTCTTCTGACTCCCAGTCCATTGTTTTCAATTACTTATATCAGTTTGGGAGATTGCAGCTGGGGGGATCAGGGACCCAGGCAGAGAGCTGGACAGAGAAGGATCGTGAACTAAAGAAAGCAAGACTATACATGGGAATCTGTGTATGAGGCATGGGGCAACAGCAGCAAGAACAGAGGCTGGTATTGAGCCAAAGGTTTTCTGTAGCACAAGTGAGAGAGTTTGTCTTATAATTCCTGCTCAAAGCCAGAACCGAGGTGGCAGCAGGCCTGCACCCTCAGGTGGAGACAATTAGACACACCTGGATGGAGCACAGGAGGAGAAAGCAGGGGGAAAGAACAGCAATGTCACTGAAGTATTGTGATGTGTCATCTGAATAGATTTCATTGTGTTGTTTTTTTATGCCGCAGTACAGCCAAACAAGGATCCAGGATGTAAGCCATGCCTCATGGGCTACTTCTCTGATGCATTTTCTTCCAAGTGTATATCCTGGACCAAGTAAGTACACTTCACAGTGAAATTACACACAATTGCAAATGAATACACACAGAGAGAAGAGATGGGAGGAATTAAAAGAGAGTGCTACAGAATTTAAACAATTTGATCAAAGGAAAGAGGGAAGGAAAGGAGGAACTTATTAAGTGCCTACTATATATGACCCGTGCTGTGCTAAGTGCAGTATTATCTCATTTGGTCTTCTACAAGGGGCTGTTATGATCCTCATTTTACAGTTGAGGAAGCTGAGAGATATGGGTTAAGTAACTTGCCCAGGGTCACAGTGTCTGAGGCAGGATTTGAACTCAGATCTTCCTGAATCCAAGAGACCTAGTGCTCTAATTTATTTGTATTGATAGATTGTATTATATTCAGGCTGTGTCCACATGATGTTCAGATGAGGGTTAATTCATTAAGAGAGGATGAAAAATGGTTGAAATGAAATGAAAAAAGGGTTGATTGAGCCATTTCTTTGATTTTAGTTGCTTAAAACAAAAGCTTCCTATCACTTCACCCTCACTCTAATATGGAACATTTTAAAGAATTTTGTCTTAGCAGCTCCTTCCCTGCTTCTTATTGAACTTATGTTTATACTTGCTCTTACTTAATTTCTCTATTTCTCTTTAAATTATTTCTCAATTTTTCCTTGATATATTATTTTCCCTTCTTTCATTGTCATAAGTTTATCATGTGCCACTTAGAAGTACTAGGAAATAATAATAAAAGAAAGGGATTAAAAACCAATATAGAAAGATGGCCGTCCCCTACTGGGCAGACTGCTGATGACCAGCCTCTCAGCACCTAGCCAGGCTGACTCTTATATGGCAGCTGAAAGTTGTTGTCATGACTGTTCTAGAAGCTTTTCCAAATAGATGGGACCAGCCTGATTTTGAGCTCCACTGGCAGAGCCTTGGAGAACCCAGGGTCAGCATTCTGTAGAGGAAAAATATGAAATGCTTCATGAATTTGCATTTCACATAAACATATTTTAAAGATAGATTTTAATTTTAATTATTTTAAATAAATCCTTATAAAATATAAAGAAGTCTTTTAAGTAGTTGTGATTAAAGAGGGTAAGCATTTATCTACTGTAGACTTTTAATAATTTTCCAAAATACAATCACATTTTCTTATGAGAACTTTATACTTTTTTCAAAACAAGACTCCATGAGGGTTAAACACAAATTATATCATGGTTATTTGTGTGCCCTGGGCACTTATTTCCATCTGATTTTTTTTCTATTCCATTTAGCCATTTTGTAAAAGCTTTCTATGTTTCCAACTTGTGTTCATCTTTTCATAACCATTGGAATTTGTCACTAATCCACCTTAATTCAGGAAGGGTTAGTCAGTATTTCCTTTACCAAAAATATAAAACTGAGCTATAAATGACTATATTTTCATGTATTTCCTAGGGAACATTGACTAGGGTTTTCATTGGGTTTCTTCATTTCTTTTTTTGAGAGCATGATGTAAAGGCATTAATTTATATATATATATATATATATCTATTTTTAATTTTTTATTTTGCAGCTGTACCAGCCTTGGAATGGTAGAAAAAACTCCTGGGACTGATAAGTCAGATGTGGTTTGTGATCCTTTGCCACCTGAAAAGCCAGAATATGGTATATAATTTACAAAAGTACATGATGGTTAGAAGACATGCTCCAACACAATAAACTATTTCACATTCTGACTAAATTAGGTGCTACATCTTGAGTGGAACTGTTTTCTTTTCATTTTATGTTTGGAATGACACCAATTATTAGTACAGTAATTAACTTTCCATCAGTATTTTTATAGTATGAGTCATTCCAAGTGTATTGACTCAGAATTTTCTAGGTTGGTACTTGAGAGACAATGTTGTACTTATGTAGACAGGAGAAGAAAAAAGATCTAGGTATGTGAATGGGCAAAGATAGCTTTGACATCATGGCAGGAGTGGGTAGGACAGAGTGGGGAAATGCTGGGAGTCATTTAGGGGCCAGCAATGTGTTAGAATCCAACTCTGATTAATCAGAAAAGTAAGAAATTTTGTAAAGTGGGAGGTACTTAGACCGGTGGAAGGAAGTGTGTAAGATGAGCTTCTTTGTCATGTTTGTTTCAGGTAAAGGCCAGATGTGGCCAATTGTAGGGATGTGTGTCATAAGCAGAAGTGGAAAACTGAGTAGTCAGATGTGATGAGTTAGCAGTGGAGCTGGATGGATCTTTGCAGACTGTGTGAAGACAAATGAAGCAGAGAATAGTGGAAAGGAGTGGCTCAGATCATGTTGGAGCAGGGCCTGGCCACCGAGGTGCCCGCAGTGAACAGATGCAGAGATAAAGGAACAAACTGAGCTCCAACTTAAAGAAATTCTTGGTTCTCTCATTTTGGGATCCTCTCTTATAATGATGGCATTTATACAGTGTTTTAAGGCTCACATTTGTATAAGGTTTTAAAGTTGACATTTATGTAGTGTTTTAAGGTTTGAAAAGCACTTAAAGATATTATCTCATTTCACCCTTACAGTAGCCCTGTAGGTTAGGTGCTGGTATTGTCCCCACTTTATAGATAGGGAAATGAAGGCTGAGAGGGATTATTTGTGTAGGGCCATGTAGCTACTAAGGGTTTGAAACGAGATTTGAACTGAAATCTTCCTGACTCCAAGTCCAGCACTCTCTCTGCTGTGACACCTTGTTTTGTGTCTCTCGAAGGAGTAAAAGGCTTGAAGAAGGTGGAAGGAGTTAGGAGACCTTTCTTCCAGCCGTTCGAGCAAGACCTGTTGTACTACATCACCTTGGTGTGGAGCTGAGCTAGCTGTTACGTTAGTGGGACACATACTCTAGCAGAGCCCTCTAGAGTCAAAAAGGGCTTTTAATCTGCATGAAATCACAGAATCTCAGTACTGGAAGGAACCTTAAACTCGACCTGAGAGAATTTTGCTTTAAGATATCCCTGATCAGTGAGAGGGGAACCTGCTTTCCTTAGATGCAGCACATTCCACTTTTTGGGTGAAGTGAGTCAGTAGAAAGTTTTTCCTTACAGTAAACCTAATTCTGCCTCAGTGACTCACTTAATTCTGTTCTCAGGTTCAGCTGAATAAGTTTAATCTTTACAATAAATGACAATCCTCTAAATACTTTAAGGCAGTTAATACCTCCCCTTAAGTCTTCTTCTTCTTTTTTTTGGCAATTGGGGTTAAGTGACTTGCCCAGGGCCACACAGCTAGTAAGTGTCAAGTGTTTGTTCTGAGGCCGGATTTGAACTCAGGTCCTCCTGACTTCAGGGCTGGTGCTCTATCCAAGTCTTTTTCTTTAAACTAAACTTTACTTGTTTCATAAACTCATGTCCCTCTGACATCTCTCTAATCCCTCTAGGTCTAATTAGGCAGCAAGGTGACATAGCAAATTAACAGGGTTGGGGAGCCTTTGGAAGTCCTGGGTTTGAGTCTGGCCTCAGACGCTTAATAAGCTGTGTGTCCCTGAACAACTCACTTAACTACTCTGGGCTTCAGTTTTCTTATCTGTGAAATGAAGGAGTTGGACTCAATGGATTCTAAGGCCGCTTCTAGCTCTAAATATAGGATCCTACGATCCCTCAGTAACCTAACTGCCCTCCCCTGGATATATTTCAGTTTGTCAGTGTCCTTACTAAAACATGGTACCTCAAAGTGAGTATCTCAGATGTAGCCTGACTAGAGCAGAGTGGGTCAGGACTTTGTCAACAATCAGTTGACAAGCCTTTATTAAGTGCCTACTATGTACCCGGCGTCTCACTTATCCTGAACATTTGATTTCTCTTAATTTAATCTCAGATAACATTGGATTTTTAAGTCAGCAAGTTAGACTGATGACTCATCCATCCTGCAGTCTGATTTTTTTCACGTGAACTGTTAAGTAGCCATGCCTCCCCAATCCAGACCTTATAACCTCACCCATTTGAATTCAAATGTAGGAAGATACACTCACCTCTACATTTCATCTATCCTGGACAATCAAGATCTTGTAAAATCCTAGTGATGTCTCTAACATGTTGACTATCCCTCCTATATTGGTGTCTCCTGAAAGTCTGATAATTATACTTATCCTTTATCCCTTATCATTTATCCAAGTCATTGATTTAAAAAAATATTAATAGGACTACACATAGAACTCTCTTTAAGGTGATATCAAACTGTTAGTGATTACTCTTTGGATCTAGACATTTAACCAGTTACAAATCACCCCATTCACATCTCATCCTGTCTACAAGAATGGCAGGAGCCTTTTATCAAATGCTTTGCTAAAATTGATATACATAAGCATTCTCCTCATCTAGTAAATCTTTTAAAAAAACTAAATTAAATTAGACTCTCGAGGCAGTTCTCTCCTTTTCTGTTTTATTGAAATTGTTTCTCTTTGTTCAGAATCTCATTCTTAAGAGCTTATCATTTCTCAGCCAACTTCCCCTGCAAATTCTGCCTGTCCTTTTCTCTAAACGCATTAAAATCTGCTCTTCTAAGTCTGGGATGTATGTCAAACGCTATGCCCAACTCTTCTCTCCTCTGTCACAAATTTTAAGACTGGTCACTTCTCTGTGAAGTTCTTATCATTTCTAGCCCCCACCCCAGCAACTTGTTTCTATTTGTTACTAAGAATTAGATCCAGAATAAGTATTCTGCTCATTGGTTCCCACACCTTTTGAGGGATAAAATTGTCTTTTAGGAAAGACAAGAAATTATTGGTTGCTTTTTTGAGGCAGAGAGAGAACTCTATCAGAGGTATGAATGACTAAAGTCTTCCCTCACTACTCCTATATTATGCTTCTGTGCTCAGGCTTATGATTTGTTTCTTTTACTTCTTATCTATTTCCTCCTTCTATCTGTACATGGTCTGGAGGATATTTTGATGACAATTTTGCTTCTGTTTCTGCCTCCATTGATTTTCATCCATGCTCTCTACCATCCTTCCGTACTTTGTTTCCTGAATTTCCTTACATGAAACACATATTAATGTACATTGTTACTTACATACTTCCCCTTTCCTTGTCCTGTTGTTGTTGTTGTTGTTGTTGTTGTTTTTAATAAGGCATACTCTTCAAAAATGACATCAGTTGTTCAGTCATGCCTGACTCTTTGTGGCCTCATTTGGAGTTTTCTTGGCAAAGATAGTGGAGTGCTTTGCCATTTCCTTCTCCAGCTAGTTTTACAGATGAGGAAACTGAGGCAAACAGGGTTAAGTGATTTGTCCAGGATCACAAAGCTAGTAGTGTCTGAGGCTGGATTTGAACTCGGGAAGATGACTTCAGGTCTGGCACTCTATCTACTGTGCCACCTAGCTGCCCTGTGATAGCCACCAAACCAGTTACCATAGAAAGGAATAGCAATAAGAAAGGAAGCTATGTGACCGTGGCCAAATCACTTAACTCCATTTGCCTCAGTTTCCTCATCTGTAAAATGAGCTGGAAAAGAAAATACCAAACAACTTTAGTATCTTTGCCAAGAAAACTTCAAATGGGGTCACGAAGAGTCAGACATGACCGAAAAATGCAACAAAATTGGCGGATGTTGGTAAACAGTTTTCTTCATCATTCTACTATATTCATTTTCAAGTCATCTTGTTCTGTGTTAGTAGTGTGAAGTGTAAAAAAAGCCATTTCAATTACATTAAATTAAAAAGTGTTTTAGTTTTTTTACGAGTAAAACAAATATAACCAAGATCAGAGGAAAGCAGAAAACTGGGGGAAAAATTTTATAGACAGATTCTCAGATAAAGGTCTCACATCTCAAATATATGAAGAACTTTGTCAAATACATAAGAATATGAGTCATTCCCCAATTGATAAATGGTCAAAGGATATGAACAGGCAGTTTTCCAACAAAGAAATCAAAACAATTTATAGTTGTATGAAAAAATGTTCTAAATCGGGGGAATATAACTTTTATTAGCCCTCCATCCCTAGATGAGAGCCAAATTACTCCTGTATTTTAAATCATAGTCTAGAAATCCAAACCCTGTTTTCAGATATCATCCTGTGGGGGAGCAGTGTGCGAAACAGACCTATGACCCTACTTCTATGTAGGGATCGCTTAGTAAGGAATTTCCTCCATCAACCCATATTGGAACCTTCTCTGCAACATAGGGAGTTGCCTGATGCCCTGAGAGGTTAAGTAACTTGCCCAGAGGTAATATGTGTCTGACAGATACCATGATCTTCAAGACCTGTTGACTTCCCAAATATGCCCTTCTCTTCTGAAGTCCCTATACTATATTGTAAAAAGTGATGAAAATATCTCATTTACCCCTGAGGTCTTTGGTTTCTTTCCCAGGACTTTATAATTCCTTATCAAAGCTCTCTGGTCTCCACCTGTCATCTAAGTACCAGCCCAGCTAAATTTGGAAAGGTTCATAGGCATTCAAGTGATGATGAATTTTTTTTTTGTTACAACTAATTAAGTCACTTGCTAAAATATGGCAAAACTTTGTTTTGTACCACATTGGCAAATTATGAGGTCTTTAATAAAAGTTGTTATTCTAGAAATATTGAATTTTATGATTTGGGGGCATGATGAAGAGGATTTTTTGAAGCTTATAGAATAAAACCAAATATTACACTAATGCATATTTTTTCCCCATACAGAATCACCAAAATACTTACACAATATAATCTTTCTACTCCTCCTGGCAAGTTTGGCAGTCATTACAGTCATCATCTTTGGGATCTACTATAGGAAGGAAGGGAAAGCGCTGACAGGTATTGTGTCTCTGAGTAGTTCAGAAGCCATCTCATGAGAAAACTTGTATTTCTAGATGTATGTTTTCTTACTTTGTCAAGTCAAGTCAGCGAGCCTTTATTAAGTGTCAGCTATGTGCCAGACACGATGCTGAAAATTGTCATGCTAAGCTGTTTTTTATTTAAACCAGCCCAAGCAGCCAATCATATTTGATCGATTTTCTCTAAGTGCAAAGAGCGTGTGATTTGTTGAGCACAGATTCCCAAACATATCGAACTCTTCTGGCCTTCAAAAAGTTGGAGATTGCATAGGGCAGCAAATATTCATTTAGGAGGAGACTCTTCATCCATTTATTTGTTCAACAAGCATTTGCTAAATGCAAACTCTAAACAATATCAGAAATATGACTGTGCTTATTTTATATATATATAAACATGCATATAGATATAGAAATATATATTACATATATATATATATGCATACTTACACATACACACATAAACATGCTCTCTCTCTCTCTCCCCTCCTTCTCTTCTCTTTTTTTTCCTCTCCTCTCTCCCTCCCTCACTTTCACTCTTTCTCTCCCTCTCTCTCATTTTCTGTCTCTTTCTCTCATTTCCTCTCTCTTGCTGTTTCTATCTCTTTTTCTCCCCTTCTCTTTCCCTTCCTCCCTCTCTCTCTCTTGTAGCAGTGCTACTTCCAAAGCTCCCTTATTTCCATTTTAAAAATTAATATATTAAGAAGTGTTATAGTTATGTTTGCATCTGTTGACCAAATATGACCTCTTACTCCTCCAATCTGCTGAGGTGCTTGTGGCCACAGAACTTTGCATGGTTCTTATTACATGCTGGCTCTGTCTCCTATGTGGCATTTATTACATGGGGCCTATTGCACTTAATTAAGGAAACATTCACTAAGAACATAGTAAATGCACAGGCACTATTATAGGTACTAAGGCAGAGTCCTGATTTGTAACCATGTCTTATCTCCTTAACAAGATTGTAAACTCCTTGATGTTAGGAGGACCCTGACTTACGTAGCTTTATCATTGTGTATAGCATCCAGCATGGTGCCTTGCATGTATTAAGGGCTTAACAAATATTTGTTGAATGAATGAATGAACGAATGAATGAATGAGTACAGCTGTATTCATCATTGATCTTTTTGTGTGGATGGATCACATTTTGATTTAAAAAAAAGTAAAAATATCTTTCTGAGGAAGGAACCAAAATGTTCTTCATCAATTGTCACCATTAAATAGATACTAGAATTTTAAAAAGACTTTTGGGAAGTAATCTTGTGCTGGCAATAGAAATTTGTTCAGTGATCCCTTTTGGATTATTTTAAGATACTTGTACTCTTAGCGGGACAGCCCTTCTGTCTGTAGGCTCATTCTTATCCCCCCCTGTCTTTTGGAAGAGATTGCTCTCACTATCATCCACTCTCTTTAATTTTCAACCTCTCTCTATCTACTGGTTTCATCCTTGCTGCCTTTACACACCTGTCTTCCCCATCCTTAAATAAATAAAAATAAAACCTTCACTATACCTTACCATCCCCTCAAGCTACCATATTATATCTCTCTTCTCTTTCCTAAACAAACTCATAGAAAAAGCTGTCTATACTTGCTGCCTCCATCTCCTCTCCTCTCACTTACTTTTCAACCTTTTGCAGTCTATCTTCCAATTATCCCTTAACAGAAACTTCTCTCTCCAGAGTTACCAGTGATTTCTTAATTACCAAATCTGATGGTCTTTTCTCAGTCCTCATCTTTATTGATCCCTTTGCAGCATTTGACACTGTTGACCACTGTCTCTTCCTCATTGTTTTTTTCCTTTCTGGGTTTTCATGATTCTTCCTGTTTGATCTCTCTTCTCAGTCTCCTTTCATGGAATCATCATGGAATCATTATATGTGTGGTTCTACCCCATACCTCTGTCTTGGATCCTCTTATTTTCTTTCAATAGTGTAATGATCACATACAGTAGGTGTCAATATCCACACTGTAGTGCCTTATTCCTTCCACAGTGGTGTTTGGACACCAATTTACTCTCTGGGCTGGGCTGGCTATCTCAATCCAATCTATTCTTACAGTATAGTTCTAGATTCCCAGAGAAGTAACACCAGTGCAGTTATACTCAAATTCTCTCAGAGTCTAGGAGTAACTCTGTTTGGGGGAGAATATACTCATCACTTTATCTCTTGAACCCCTGCTGATGTGTTTCTATTTATACAAACCAGTCACTCAAAATGGTGATATTTTTATATCATAATCTTAACTATTTACTAAGCAGTGAAACAAAAGAAATAATAATACCTTCACAAGTATTCATATATTGAAGCAAGTGGAAGGCTAATAAAATACATCATAATTTGCACATAAGCACTGTCCCACCAGTGCATTCAGTTTATGTTTGGAAGAATTCACAAGAAACTAGCAGGGAAGTACATAAGAGAATAAAATCCATAGACTCACAACTCTGAGTTTCAGACATTGGTCCCTTTAGGATCAGCTGCACCACACAAAACTACTTTTCTGCCAACTGTTTCTCTGCTTATCCTCATTGCTGTTCAACTTGGCAAATCCTCTTCTTTTCCATTTTTTAACTGATATAGCATTTGCAAGCTCTTTCACAATCACACTGAAAGAGTATTTGAATAGTGTTATAGTATTAATTTGGATAATAGTTAGTTACCTTTAAGCCACAAAACTGTAAAGCCCATCAGTCTGGCTATAACTGGGCAGAGTAGTCCAGCTCAGTTCAGCCAGCTATTCACTTACCTGGATGCTGTGTTTTGCAGTCAAATTATAGTAAACAGAGCTTATAGCAAAAGGTGAGGTTGGCTTTCTGAGCAAGGAAAATCAGCCTCAGCTCTTCACTCACCAGGATTCTACATCTTCCAATTACATTTCAGCCTCTCTTCCTATACAACCAAAACAAAAAAAATCATAACTTCTTTCCCCTTTCTTCTTTTCCTTCTCAAACTAAAGAGGACAGAAGAGGACAACAGGCACTTCTGAGAGACTTCACCTTTCTTAAGCTCTAGAGGGCACCAAAGAATAATATCTGGAATTGAAGCTCTTAGCCATTGAAGTTCATTCTCTCTAAATAATCAAGAATCATGAAGATGCCTTCTGTCTTCTGACTGCTCCAGGTGTCTCTTCTTCACACAGTTCCAATAGACTTGATTTTCATCCTTTGCTGTTCCTTCAGCCTCCACTTGTCGGGCATTTTCCTCTTCAGTTTCAGCCTAAACCTCAGCCCTCTATAACATGTATTTTAATGACTTCAATCACAGCCTCCTGGCATTTATTGACTCACTTTCACTTCAAAGGCAACAAGAAGCCAAATTTCCACTAGGAAATTGCAAACTTTATTTAATCCTCAGTCTTCAAAGAGTTGTGTGTTTTAATTTTGTGTATGTGTCTTTTATTCTCTTAAGTCATAAAACTGTTATATGCTAATAAGCTGAGGCATCACAGTATCCTGCAGCTCTGTGTTCTCAACATGGTCCATCAACTCATTTTATATACTGAAAATTGTGTTTCTTCATCCTCTTACTTATCCAGTTTTTAATAAATAAAAGCTCTTTTTCTGTCCCCTTAAAGCATCAACTATTCACATACAAATAAGGCATCACCTTACATCTTTCACAAAGTAATTTAAGTCTTCATATTTTTCAAAGTTCATTTTCTGTTGCTCAAGTCCCATATTACAATCATGTTTCTTTGTATACTTTAGCAGTTTTTAATTAGATAAAGGTTCTCCCTACTTTTTTCTGGCATCAAAATATTCATCTACATCAGAAACAATGTTTTACATCCTTTGTCAGTGATTTTAATCCTTTATCTTCATATAAACATACTTTTTTTCTGTTCTTTCATTACTAATCTGTATGAAAAGAAAAGTAAAGGGGACATCACCTGTCACTATATTTTCTCACTTGGTGACTTCATCAACTCATATGGTTTAACTACTATCTTTTTGCAAAATATCTAGTCCTAGTCTCCAAATGCTCAGGTATCCAGTCCTAGTCTCTCTTCTGCAACTTCAATTGCCTGGTGGAATTTCAAACTGGATGTCATGTAGACATATCAGACTTATTAACATGTCTAAAATATAGTTCATTATCTTTCCCCTCATACCTACCTATTTTCCAGACTTTCATGTTTCTGTCAAGAAACATCCTTTCATAGGGCAGCTAGGTGGATAGAGCACTGGCCTTGGAGTCAGGAGGACCTGAGTTCAAATCCAGCCTCAGACACATAAACACTTACTAGCTGTGTGACTTTGGGCAAGTCACTTAACCCCAATTGCCTCACCAAAAAACAAACAAAAAAGAAACATCTTCTCAGTTTTTTAGCTCTTCACTCTGAAGTTATCTCACATATCCATTGGTCAGAGCTTGTCATTTCTACCTCAGTGACACCTCTCACATCGTCCTCTTCTCTCTTCTCACACTGGTGCTCTGATGCTCATCACCCCACCTTGAACTATTGAACTAGCCTCTTAATTGATGACTATGCCTCAAGTCCTTCCCCATTTCAATCCATCCTCCACATGGCTACCAAAACAACTTTCCTAAAGTGCATATCTGACTATGTCACTCCTTTACCCAATAAATTACAGTGGCACTCTACCTCCTCTAGGATCAAATATAAACTTCTCTATCATTGAAAACCCTTTACAACTTGGCCCTGAACTGCTTTTCCAGACTTGTTGCACATTGCTCTGTTTCATACACACTACAGTCCAGCCAAATTGGCCATCGACATTTCATGCATAGCACTCCATCTTCCATCTCTGTCTTTTCACTGGCAGGTTCCCATGCTTGGAATGCAATCCCTTCTTATCTTTCCCTTTTAGAATCCTTATTTTCTTTCATTAACTCACCTTCTATAGGAACCCTTTCCTGATTGTCCCCACTCAATTGTTACTACCTCCTCCCCTCCCCACCATTACCTTTTATTTATTTGGTATCTACATATCCAAGATGTCCCAAAACTCTTAGTTCATTCAAAGCTTTAACAGGTTTTTAAATCGTCCTGTATACATTTGTACTCTCTCTTCTTTCTTCTTCTTCTTCTTCTTCTTCTTCTTCTTCTTCTTCTTCTTCTTCTTCTTCTTCTTCTTCTTCTTCTTCTTCATCTTCTTCTACTACTACTACGTCTTCTTCTTCTTCTTCTCTTCATCTTTCTCCTCCTCCTCCTCCTTCTCTCTATCTCTGTCTCTGTCTCTCTCTGTCTCTATCTCTGTCTTTCTCTGTCTCTGTCTCTGTCTCTGTCTCTGTCTCTCTCTCCTCCTACTTGTCTCATGGATCCTTCTCAATCTGCTTTATTAGATTATCATCCATGTATCACTCCCCCAGTTGTGGTTATCCCTAAAGACTGTGTCCTGGACCCTCTCTTTTTCTCTATTTATAATCTATTGTGATGATCTCAATGTTATCCCCAGTATTTTTCCTTTTGTTTATTATTACAGCTCATCTGTGGCTCTGGATCAATGACACATGCAGCATCCTGAGACAAAATAAGGTAAAGCCAAGTGTGTTTGCACATTTATTTTGTACTTTTTGACCCTGGTTTCACTGTGTCTGAGAATGAGCATTGGGCTTGGAGTCAGGAGAGGCTGGAGTTGAGATCCTGATTCATACACCAACCAGCTATATGACTGTGCAAGTTACTTTATCTCTCAAGAGCCTTTGTTTCCTCTTTTCCAAAATGGGGATAATAATGCCTTCACTATTTATCTCACTGGTTTTGTTATGAGAATCAAATGAGGTCATGTTTGTAAAGCATTTGATAAGCCTTAATGTGCTAAATGTCATTTATTATAGTTCTAATAATTATTATTATTACCAAAAACAAAGAACAGCATTTTCTTCCGTAGTCCTCCATTGGAGTCACTCTTTTTTTTGTGAGTGGGAAGGAACATAAATTGCTGAATTTTTATTTTCATTAAGAAAGAGCCTAATAAATTAAGAACTTTCCATATATCTCCACAGATCTGATTCTGCCTCATTCACTTGCTTAAATTTATGGTGACTTCAGATGGAACTTGGCTAGTAAAGCATGATGAGGTCTTGAGATTGAGTTATTTTCTGGGGGAGGGTAAAGGAGAGCAAGGCATTGAAGAACATGTTAGCTACATGTAGTAGCCTTATCTTTTGAAATACAAAATTTCTATCTCAGCTTCCAAAATTCATATTATTTAATATTTCTGAAATATCTATAAATAAGGAAGATACTTGGCACAGTGTATGTGACATCAAATCCCTCTAAATACTGTTTGTCTTAACTTCTAACCATCTGTGTTCTTTATCTGTGACATAAACATTAATACACACACACACACACACACACACTTTCTCTCTCTCTCTCTCTCTCTCTCTCTCTCTCCCTCCGAAGAATCAAGGCTTTTTTTGTACTCTATAATGTGCTGTGTACCAAAAGAATTAGGGAAAAAAGATTTCAATTGCATCTGAAATTTTAAAATCATCATCATTATGAACAGATGGCTCTTTCTCACAATGAAATGTTTCCTATTCTTAATTAAATATGATGAATATTTTTAGCAAAATGACAACTTTTTTTCCCCTTAAGCCTGGTACTAGTAGAAAGAAGGAGAGACTGGAAGTCAAGCAACTTAGATTCACTTGTTGGCTTCAGCCCTTCCCAGTGCTGTGACCTTGGACAATTGACAGAAACCTCTCCAAGTCTCAGTTTCCTCACTTGTAAATTGAGAATATTGTTACCTCCATGAATTATTGTGAAGAAAGTGCTCTGTAAGCCATGAAACTTTATATAAATCCACATTGGCATTAGTATATACATGGATTTTATCATGTGAGTTATGATCTAATTCTGTACTTTTGGTATAGCCTTAGAATATAAAAAGTTTCTTTCTAAAGATTTTTGGCTTGGGATTATTTTGATTTTGGCTTCATTTTGTTAATCTCCTTTACTTTTTTAAAATTGTGAACTGAAAGGAAAAGGACATAGTTGAATGGTGCTGTGTTAAACCCTTTAGTTTTCTGTAACATCTGTAGGATAGTAATGTCCATATGATAATGGCTGAAGTTTACATCATCTTGGAACTCTCAGCCTAGTTCCCTCTTCCCTTGGGGCCCCTCCCTCTGATAGGAGGGTGCAGAGCTCCTTCTAGAGCCTCTGTTTAAGGAGGGTGCCAAACCAGCCATCTCATCATTCCCCACCCAGCTCCATTCCTTTGGACTCCTCCTTTATGTTTGGTACCTTCCCTCCTCCACCCTACCTCACCCCTCTTTACCGCTTCCTTTTGAGTGCTGTGTTCCTCTGTTAGAATGTAAGCTTCTCCAGGGAAAGGTCAGGGACTGTCCTTTGCTTTATTTGTATGCCCAGCACTTAGCAGCACAATCTTATCCGAGCCTCACAACGAACAAGTTAGATAAACACTGTATGCATTATTATAATATTCATTTTATAAGTGAGGAATCTGTAACTCAGAGACATTAAGTGATTTACCCATTTTCACATGATTGATAAGTGCCAGAAAGGTGATCTGAATCTGTGCCTTCCTGGTTTGAAGTCTAACACTTTATCCATTACATCACACTACCTCTCACACAGGAAGATAGCATATTTCTGGTGGCATTGTAACTATGGCTTAATTTTTTTTATCTTTATGGGAAAATATTTGGATTTGTTTGACTTGGTGGTGTCCCAAAAGTTTTAGTGCAGTTTTAAGCCATTAAAGATTGATTAAAGGATATCAAAAGAATCAATGGAAAAAAATGTGAAAGAAGGTAGTCTAGCCATACCAGATTTCAAGCTGTATTATAAAGCAATAATTATCGCAACAGTCTGGTACTGACTAAAAAATAGACTGGTGGATCAGTGAAATAAATGAGGTACAAATTACATTATAGTAAATGACCATTGTAATCTAGTGTATGATAAAACCAGAGACCCAAGTTTTTGGAACAAAAATTTATTATTTGACAAAAACTGCTGGGAAATCTGGTTGGGACAGTCACACAGTATACCAAGATAAGGTCAAAATGGGTACATTATTTACACCTAAAGGGTGATACCACAAGCAAATTAAGAGAACGTGGAATAGTTTATCTGTCAGATTCATGGATAAGGGAAGAATTTAGGACCAAAGAAGATACAGAAAGCATTACAAAATGTAAAATAGATAATTTTGATTATATAAAACTAAAAAGTTTTTATACAAGCAAAACCAATGCAACTAAAATTATAAGGAAAGCAGAAAATTGGGGGGAAATTTTTGCAACAAGTATCTTTGATAAAGGCCTCATTTCTCAAATATATAGAGAACTGAATCAAATTTATAAGAATACAAGTCATTTCCCAATTGATAAATGGTCAAAAGATATGAACAAACAGTTTTCAGACAAAGAAATCAAAGCTATCTATAGTTGGATGAAAAAATGCTCTAAATCATTATTCATTAGAGAAATGCAAATTAAAACAACTCTGAGATACCCCCTCACACCTGTCAGATTGGCTAATATGACGAAAAAGGAAAATGCTGTATAGATAGTGGAGGAGATGTGGGAAAACCGGGACACATGCAGTCAGTGGAATTATGAACTGATCCAGCCATTCTGGAGAGCAATTTGGAACTGTGCCCAAAGAGCTGTAAAACTCTGCATACCCTTTAATCCAGCAATATCACTGCTAGGTCTGTATCCCAAAGATATCCAGAAAAAGGGAAAAAGGACAAAAATATTTATAGCAACTCTTTTTGTGGTGGCTAAGAATTAGAAATTGAAGGGATGCCCATTGATTGGGGAATGGCCAAACAAGCTGTGGTATATGACTGAGAGAATAGTACTGTGCTATAAGAAATGACAAGCAGGATGATTTCAGAAAAACCTGGAAAGACATATATGAACTGATGCATTGTGAAATGAACAGAACCAGGAGAACATTGTACCCAGTAACAGCAATATTGTTCAATAAAGAATAGTGAATGACTATTCTCAGCAATACAATGATCCAAGACAATCCCAAAGGACTAATGATGAAGCATACTATCTGCCTCCGGAGAAAAAATTGATATTGTTTGAATACAGACTGAAGCATGCTATTTTTCACTTTCTTTCTTTCATTTTTTTTCTTTTATTTGAGTCTTCTTGTACAAAATGACTAATATGGAAATATTTTACATAATTGCACATGGATAATCTATATCTGATTGCTTACTGTCTCAGGGAGAGAGGGAGGGAAGGAGAGAGGGAGGGATAGAATTTGGAACTCAAAACTTTAAATAAAAATGTTAAAATAAAAAAAAGATCTGATTAAAATGTGAATCCCACTGTTTAAAGGAATATCTCCTGATAGCAACAGACCTCAAATCCTGAAGAGTGCCAGTGTTACTCAACAGACAAGGCCTATTACTTTTTTAAAAATCCATTCCCCATTTACTACTTATCTAGTTAAGGTATAGACAGTTTGTACTGTAGAAAGTTCTCTGCTTTATTCTTCTATGTTTTCTGTACTGAATTAAATAAATTGTAAAGTAAATTCCTGTAGTAGTGCAATACTGTGCATTTATAGGTACCCTTTGTGTGTATTGATGCTGACAAAAATTGCTGTAAGTTTCATTTTCGATGTTTGCTCAGAAAATATTTGTGTTCTAAAGACTTTGGATAACATTTTTTTTACCTTCTGGGTTTAAATTGGCAGGAATCATCTGGTGATAATTTCATCCATACACACATGACAACATCGAGTGCTAGCCAGGCTTGTGAAGATGTTTTATTATTGACCCCAGAAGAAAAGATGGTACCTGAAGACTCGTGTTATCCACAGGGACATGTCGTGTGTGGGGAAGCAGATCCGTGTAAAGTCGGAGATAATGCCATGCTGTCCTTGGTCAGGGAGACTGAGGAAGATAACTTTAGGCAGATTCCCACAGAAGATGAATATGTGGACCGAGCTACTCATGGTTCTGATTGTTTATTGTTATTGAGTCGGCCTGGAAGCAAGCCAGCTTCTCCTTTCTCAGAGCCCTTGGAGGTTGGGGAGAATGACAGCTTAAGCCAGTGTTTCACTGGTACCGAAAGCACGATGGATTCAGAGAGCTCCTATTGCACTAAATCTTCATGCAGGACTGACTCCATCCATATATCCTCTGAACTGTACTTGCAGAAATCTTTCCACTGCAATGACAGTAACCTTGCTAAGGAGGTGGAAAACAGTGACAGGAATCATTGGGCAGCTGACCTTGACTTAACAAATGGCTTTAGGGGCTGCAGGGAGCCTCTCAGGAAGTACACTGAAGCTTCTGAGAAGAAAGCTGACCACATCATAGCATCCTTTGAGAATGGACCTTTCCCACAGTGCACCTGTGGTTCAGACCTTCCTCCAGAAAGTCAGAGTAGCCTGGCAAGTGATGCTGAGGGTGAAGACTTGTCCTTTGATGGGACTGAAGTGAAGTTCCCTAACACAAAAAGAGGCAGTTCTGGGTCAGGTGGTACCTCCAGCGACTCGCCTCTTGCATCTGGTAAGTGACCTTAGGTCCTGCCCACTTCTTTACATAGAAGGACTAGAGTCTTTTTCAAGGTCACACATACTTTAGGGAAGAAGGGAGATAAACTTTACTGACCCCCAGAAAGTGGTACCTTCACCAGTTTTCTCTTTATTTTCACCATCTACATCTTCCCTCAGCCCTCATGATCATTTCTGTGCTCACATATACACATATATTTCTGTGCATACTTTTTGTTCCTGGTAGCCTGAGGCAAAATTGTGACATAAGCAGAGTTCACTGTTCCCAAACTCCCCATTCTGTGGCATCCCTGCTGGTGCCCTCAGGCACCTGGTACCCTCTTGGCCCTTCGTTCCATTCTTCAATCAAAAGCTCTTCTCAGAGCCTTCTTTCATACTCTCATCTAAACAATTGATAAAAGCTTAAAATAGAAGGCTATTTACATTTTAACAACATGACATGTACTTTTCAAGATGAATCTCTGTTGGTAGAATTTTAATCTGGCAGAAGATGGCAGGTCTTTCCTCTGCCCCTAAAGTCATACTCTGTGGTTTTCACTCACTTGGCCTACCCATGGAAAAAACAGCTATATTTGCACGAAATACATTACCATAGAATTCTTCCTAATGAAACCCCATATTTCATTTCTACCTGCCTTTATCTGTTAATTCCCTTTTCATGCAGAAGCCACTACTTCTCCCCCTACCTCTTAGAGTCAGTTTGATACATAATGGATTTGGAATCAAATGACCTGGTTTTAAATCCCAGTTCTACCATTTAGTAGCTCTGGTGACTTTGGGCAAGTCACTTAACTCCCCTAGATCTGAGTTTTTTCATCCATAAACTGAGAGAGGAAGGTTGGATTTAAGAAACTTTACAACTTCAAATCTGTGATAATATAGTATAATGTAGTAAGCCTGTTCAGTCCTGGAACTACTTTGAAATATTGGTGCTAATTGGCTGGTGTGTTTTTATGACATTCAAATGAATTGTTTTGGGCTCTGAGAGTTGCCTTAATATCCTTTTGGGAATAGAGATGACAAGGAAGAATCAGCTAGCATGAGGGCCTGCTTTTACTGTGATGGGGCATAGGTATGTTTGAAAGGTTTTTTACTTGTTTGTTTTAAGCAAAGCACAGGCATAAAAGGAGGGGAAAGGTAAATGTTTGGGATCAGTCGTTTTTTAAAATGCTTTTCAGTGGGATGGACATCAAATTAACGACACCCTTTCTTAATTCTCCATTTGTCATCACATCCTCAATCCACTTAATGATATAGTCTACATTTACTTATCTGTTACCATGTTGTATTCCCTCACTAAAGCGTAAGCTCCATGAGGTCTTACGTTTGTATTTGTATCCCTGGAACCTAACATAGTACCTGGTACATAGTAGGTGCTTAATAAGAGCTTACTGATAGATGATTAATGTTGAGGATCTCTAAATATGGGTACCTCTGAATACTCTGAGCATAGCCCTAAAGTCAAGAGAATAATTTTTAATTTCTAAACTTTCAGTAACAAAATTTGGAGAAGAGTGGAGGGAAAAGGACTAAGCTTATATTTCCAGGGTTAGTACTTTTTTAAAAAAAAAACTCAAATCATCCAAATTATCCTCTACAATTTTTCTAGATTCTAAGAACATAAATAAAACTGTAATTAATTAAATGTTTATTGTCTATCATATAATTTTATGTGGTATTAATTTCATAATACATATTTTAGGTCAAATTTATTATGCAGTAAAATGTCTTCAATTTTTTTCACATCCAGAACCAATTTACTTATATTGTGCATATGCCCATTTTATAGGACTTGGATCATAATTTTACTACGATGAGTGATTATAGAGCCTTATAATTGTATTTTTACTTTTTTTTTCTTTTTATGTTGTTGGCTATATCTATGATTTATTTGATGATTTTTGGCCAGGTACACAAATCACAATTGCAATGTTGTCCTATAGGAAAATTTATTTCTGCTTTACAAAGGTCCGCTTTATGATATAGCTTCCCAGGAAAGCATTGAGTATGGTAGAAAGTTCTAGGTGTGGTTGGAGGAGAGGAAAAGATAAGAAAAAGGAAAGGAAAAGAAAAACCAAGCATTTATTAAACTCCTACTGTGTGTTAGTCATAATACTTTACAAATATTATCTCATTTAATACTCCGAACAACCCTGGGAGGTAGGGGCTATTATTATCCCCATTTTGTAGTTGAGGAAACTGAGGCTGAAAGAGGTTAAGCGACTTGCCCAGAGTCACACATCTAGTAAGTGTCTGAGGTCAGATTTGAACTTGGGCCTTCCTGACTCCAAGACTCGCCTTACCACCTAGTTGTTTCTAGGTGGAAGGGAGAAGAAAACAAGTAGGAACTTCATTTATTGCTTCTTAATCCCTTATTATTTATTTGTTTGTGTATTTACAGTTCAAGTTCATTCAGGGTAGAAAAATAAAATTTTATTTTGAAGCTCCTTGATGTTAGTATGCAAAACACAGGAACTGTTTTTGAATGATAATAATACTGTTAGGTTGGCTCAACAGAGTCAGACCAACCTAACCTGTTAACTAAAAGCTTTGTGTTCAATTCAATTCAACAAGTATTTTTGAATATTACATTCAAGGCACTGGGCATGAAAAGGCAGAATGAAAAATAGTCCCCTGTCCTCAAGCAGCTTACATTCTTTGGGGATGCCAGCACACAGATAAGTAAATATAAAATCATTCGTAGTTTGTGGTGAAATTACACAGTTACATTGAAGGATAATCCCCAATTTCAGTTTAACTGAGATCCAAGAATCTGATATCCAAGGAGACGTGATGGTCTTTACGTATGTTGTTATGTTTGCCTTTATTACATCTTATTAAATTAAATTCCAGCTCCATTTAGAGCTGGAAAGGGGCTTAGAGGTCATTAAGTCCAACCCTGTCATTTCACTGATGAAGAAAGGGACCAGAGAGGTTGTGAACTTAGCAGGGTCACAGAGTTAGTAAGTCTATGTGTGAGGCAGTATTTGAACCCAGATCTGCTTCCCTCCTAGTCCAGAGCTCTCTCTCTCCGCTACATCCTTCTGCCTCTGTAGAAATTATCCTCAAAATATCAACCCCCAAAATGAGAGGGATTTTTTCATTTATTTTATAAAATGTAGCCAAAATCTTACTTTTACATACTTTAAGAAAACTTCTCTGGCTAAAAATCTCATGTCTTTGTTTTTTAACAAGGTTGCTTTTTTCCTCCTAAGTTCTAATATTCTTTCTGTTAGGAGAGATTAGCAAAAACTCCCTCCCATTAAATAATAGATCAATGGAGCCAAGAGACCTGGACTTAATTCCTGCTTTTACTAGAGACAAATAGCATTACCTGAAGCAAATCAATATTTCACTCTGTGAAATGGGCAAGGGGAGGTTTGCAATGAAGTTATAATGGGTTGAGATTCATGGAATAAAAAATGCTAGGTAAAGGGAAAGTGGAATTTGCCTTGAAATTATGAATTCAAAAACAAAATCAGCTTTCTCAGAATCACAGAATCTTAGAGTTGGAAGAAAGTAAAGGCCATCTAGTTAAACCTGTATCTAAACAATCTGTAACCTTGCCAACATGTGGTCATCCAGCCTGTGATTGAAGACCTCTGCTAAGGAGAAACCTAGTGTTTCCTCAGGCAGCTTTTTCCACTTTGGGGCAACTCTAATATTTAGGAAATTTATCTTTACATAAGCCTAAATCTTCTCTGTACCTTCTGCCATTGCTCTTAGCTTTGCCATGAGGGGCTGAGCCAACAGTTAGGTGACACAGTGGTTAGAGCACCGGGCTTGGAGTCAGGAACTCATCTTCCTGAGTTCAAATCTGGCCTCAGACACTTACTAGTTGTGTGACCCCAGGCAAGTCATTTAACCCTATTTGCCTCAGTTCCTCTTTTGTAAAATTATCTGGAGAAGGAAATGGAAAATCTCTTTAGTATCTTTGCCAAGAAAATCCTAAATGGGGTCACAGAGAGTCAGATGTGACTGAAAAATGACTCAACAACAAGAGGAACTGAGCAGAACAAATCTAGGCCCTCTCTTATGTGATAGTCCATCAAATACTTGAAGACAATTATCAAGTCTTCCCTAAAGATCTCAGGTTTCTTCATCTAATTATCACCAGCCTTCCAAGTTGGCATTAATGACAACTCTTTGGGTCTGGCCATTGAGCCAATTCCAAATCCATATAATTTGACTATCTCCTTGCCCAGGCCAGCAAACTACAGCCTGAGGGCCACATCGGGCCCCTCACCTCTTTTTGTATGGCCTTTGAGCTAAGAATAGTTTTTTTTTTATATTTTTAAATTTAAAATGTTTTATTTGCAGCTAGCCCATACTTCTCTATCCTTTCCCCAAGAATAACATGAGACCCTGTCAAATTTTTTGCTGAAGTTCTCGCTAAAGCACAGCATTCACCTGAATGCTTTGTTGTTCAGTTGTTTTTCAGCTGTGCTGTACTCTTCATGACCCCATTTGGGGTTTTCTTGGCAGAGATACTGGAGTGGTTTGCCATTTCCTTCTCCAGCTCATTTTGCAGATGAGGAACCTGAGGCAAACAGGGTTAAGCGACTTGCCCAGGGTCACACAGCCAGGAAATGTCTAAAGCCAGATTTGATCTCACAAAGATGAGTCTTCCTCATTCCAGACCAGGCCCTCTATCCACTGCACCACCCTTGACCCATTCTTTTTTTTTTTTTTTTTTAATTTTTAGGCAATTGGGGTTAAGTGACTTACCCAGGCTCACACAGCTAGTAAGTGTCAAGTGTTTGGTCTGAGGCTGGATTTGAACTCAGGTCCTCCTGACTTCGGGCCAGTGCTCTATACACTGCACCACCTAGCTGCCCCCAGGGACTGTTTTTCATTTTGTCTTCTGTTCCCCACCCCTGTTTGCCTTGCATACAGCATGTGCTTAATTGATGAATGACCAATTACATTTCTGGTGGTGAGCTTCCAAACCAAGATAAAAGAAAAAAGGCGGGGGGAGCAGTAACTAAATAAAACAGTAGCATTTTTAATTTTCAAAAGTTTTACAATGTTCTTTCTGCAGTCTCCTGGTGCTTGATACCACAGAACATCTCTGGATAGATAGTGTGGATGAGGAAGCTGACACGTTGGCTAAATTAATTTTTGCCTGATGAGGAGAAAGGACAGAGCAGATGGATTTTTGAGGCAGTACAGCTCTTTCTACAATTACTTCTACATGAATAGCCCCAGTTTTTTTCTGGCTGTGCAAAACACCATTTTCGCATGACTACTTTCTTTAATTGTTATAATTCATGTTCTATAAAATGTGATGAAAGGGGAGAGAGTTAGGAGGGGAGGGGAACAATAATAGAGCTTGATCTCATCGGATTTCCTAAAAGCCAATTTTGGGACTCTCAGTGAGGTGGCCTACATTTGGACTCCTGACCAGTCAGTGGGGACCTAGAGTAAATGTTTTTCTGGCAATTATTTTTAGATGTTTTTATCAGACAAGCGTGTTTCTTTTAGGGCAGCCATCTCTTTTGGAATGAATCCTTTAAATAGCTCCTGCTGTTAAAGTTATTCTCATTTTCTCCTTTTTCTTTCATTTAACTCTCAAATGAAGGATTCCTGTTTCAATACTAGATAATGATCATATTACAATATTTTAAGGAACTTTCCATCAAGGCAGGTTGCAACCCTTTTATAACTTAGAAGGTGGTCTTTGAGAGTTTCTGTGACTAGTAAATTAATTAGCCTATGGTCATTTGGTGATGAACTTAGTTGAGCTTAGTCAGGCTCATCCTTGGACAGGAGGGGATGCACCGGGGGGCTTGTGCTCCATGGCTTTTCATCTGGAGCATTGCCTTCAGGAACCCAAGATCAACCTCCATGTCAAAATCAAACATCAGGGTAAGAATTTAGGGGAGGAGATGATGATGATGATGATAATAATAATATATTGGATGACCATGAAATTATAATTCTTTGAAGGACTTTGAATCATTTTCTCTTAGAAAATAAAACAGAAAAGAAAAATTTCACTGGAAAATTGGGCATATAATACTGTGTGCCCTGAAAATTGTTATGAAATCAGACCTCAAAATATTGTCATTGTTAATATGAACAACAATCCTTTTTAGTGATTTTCCTTAAAGTAAAATTCGGGAGAATTCACACAGTGCCATCTAGTGAGTAGTTAGTTATTCAAGGACCCTGGTGTCTATATAAGGCCAATAAATCACTTGCCCTCAAGTATGGCTATTTGTAAGTCAAGAGGAATTTTTCATGTCAAATGTGTAGACTTTACCCCTAGGTCCTATGATTCCATTGGGGTGAATAGTCATTCCACCTATCCAGATTGCAGCCCCTCTATCGCTTAGCAAATAGTCTATGTGAGCTGCTGTATTTGGGGGAAAAAATCATCTTATGGTGATAAGCCTTTCCCGACTGAAGTAAACCTGGCCTCAGATTTCACACACACACAGCCGCATACTACACACTGGATTCTCCAGCTTGATAGGTCTTGCAAAGGCTGGAACTTTCTAATTCCTCTGTAACCCAGAAGGTCATTTCCATACCCCAGTGAGGCATCAGAGTCAGATGTTAGTGGAAGAACAAGTGTTCATGGTGCCTGAGTAACACTACCAGACCATAGTGTAGTATAACCTACACTGAACTGGAGGTGAGAAGAACCAAACCCAGGGGTTCAAACCTCTACTCTGTCCTTCCTTGAACTAGGTGACCTCTAAAAGCCCTTCCAATGAAAATTCTATTAGAAGGGTTTGCAAAGCGTGGAAAAGGCATGGTCCTGGATGTCAGTAAGGGTTTATTATATAACTCCAATAAAGATTGTTAAACTTATTTGCCTTGTTTTCTCCTCTAATATAGTCACCTATAATTGTCACCCACTGTTGCCTAAAAGTTGACAGTCTGTTTCTTAGCTTCTCTGCTTCAGATTGTGGCATGAGCTAAGCTGCATGGAAAAAACAGACAACTCTGCATTACTCTCTCCTTTCTCCTCGCCTCCTCATCTTTCTTCGGCTTTGTGGGCACAGGAGTGGCAATCTTAGCTACAAGTACGTTAGCCAGAGAAGACTGGTTAGCCACAGGGTTGGGTGAGCCTGCTCCTCCCCCAGTCTGAATGGCAGAAAAGAGGCTAAATGATGGCATGTAGAGGCAACCAGTTTGGTGAAAAGGCCTTCCCTGGTCTTTCTGTTCCCCATCCCTGCCACCCCAGCCCTTATCTACTGCCTCTCTCCCTTCAATGCCTTTGCTTCAGGACATTGAAAGATGCACCCACGTTCATGTCCTCTATTCTGTTAACTAACTTTCGTTTAAAATAGCTAACTTGTCTGACAAAAAATAATTAAAGTTCACTGTTCTCCTTTTGATGAAAAAATGATAAATTTTATTGATGGATGCCAAGGCTTCTATATACCCTAATGCATATAGTATCTATATATTATTTCAGAATATATGAAAAATTGTTTTGCATACCTACTGCCAATTTTTTCTTTGCCCTACTGTTTCCTGCACTAAAATGGCTCATTTATTATAGTTTGGCATAGCGCTAATTCATCAATGTAGTAATATGACTAGGAATGGGATCATCTTTGTCTTAATACACACACACACACACACACACACACACACACACACACACACAGAGTTCTTCTCAATTACCCAAAGTGTATTTAAGATTTCTATAAAGAGGAAAATTACATGAATTTGTATGTTAAATGGGAAGTGAGATTCTCTTTTTTTTTTAAGTTCATGGTAGAACCTTAAGCTAGCCTAAATAGTGTGTGTGTGTGTGTGTGTGTGTGTGTGTGTGTGTATGTGTGTGTGTGTGCATTTTGAGCACCTTAAAATAAGGTCAACATGAGAAGGTGACAGTAGTACTGTTTTCCATAGCTCTGACGAATTATTTCACATACTTTACACAATACAGTAAGTTAGTTGGATAGGAAACATTTTTGAAAAGGGCATAAGCTCTGCCATATATTGAATAAATAAAACTAAGACTTTCATAGATTGTAGAATCATAGATTTTGAAGCTGAAGGGATCTTAAAGGTTATCTAATCCAACTCTCTCATTTTCTAGATAGGAAACTGAGGCTCAGAGAAATTGTTACTTTTCATATGAGAAATAGTCTATGGTCCACTTCTAGTAGATTGTTGATTTTAGAGTCATAGATTAGCAGAGTTTAGGGGATTTAATTCAACCTCTATCCAAGTCAGGAATCTTGCTTCCAACATTTCTAATAAATGACCCATCTAGTGTCCCCAGTTAAAAGATCCTTACTGGTAAATAACTCTTGATGTTGCAAGGCAGCTTTTTCTATGTATTGATTATTAAAACCCCTCCTCCACATGACCACCTTTCAGATGTTCTCATCCTCACTAAGACTTTGCCGAAGTAAAACTTTTAGAACATGATTTATGGATGCCTTCTGAATTGACCTCCTTCTTCCTAGAATCTTCTGTAACTGTGAAAGCATATTCATTCATTTCTGCTGGATACTGAGCTATCCTGCTGGCCCCTGTGCATCCAGACTCTTTGCAATCCTTTATTCCAGCATTGCAAACCATGATCCCTCCCTGGACATGACATGATGTGGTCATACTCAGAGTCACGGAAAGGTCTGAACATATAAGATGTGAGGGAAAAGGAATACCCACTATCTTTCCCCTAGTCTTACAACCCTTTTTTATTTATTCCCTTCTCTCTTCTTTTTTTTTTTTTAATCCTTCCCAGTCCAACCCCACAGACCCTTGCTGGATGGATGCCTGCTATGTGTGAGGGATTATGCCAAGTGCTGGGATTTAAAGACAAACACAAAAGTCTATGGCCTCAAGGAGGTCGTATAACAATTGAATATAAGCTCCTTGAGGGCAAAGACTTTTGTGTTTGTCTTTATATTCCAGCACCTGGCACAGTGCCTGAAACATAGTAAGTGCTTAATAAATACTTATGGAATGGAGCAATTATTTCACCAGGGATGAGTTGTCAAAGGATCGGAGCACAGCTATTGAATGATGACCACGCTTTCTTCTTTCATGGCTTCTGAGTCTTCCATGCCCCTATGACTGCATTGATCATCTGGCTTTTTTCTCTTGGGTCAAAAATAAGTAATCATGTGGTACCTCCCTGGTACCTCCTGGATTTATACACTTAGAGCATTTTGCATTCCCAGAGGTGGTTAGAGGAAAGAACTTATATCCCCTAAGTTTGCCTCTGGCTTTCAAGACCTCATTGGCAAAGAGACATATTTCTTTGCTGCCTCCCTTCAGCCAATCCCATTAAGATGACAAATTCAGTTCTTAGATAGAAATATTGGGTGTTAATTAAGGGTCTTGATAGGAAGCATCCATCATGAGATTGCCTCTGCAGCCTGCCAGAGGAATGGCAAGCCATCGCCACAGGATTCAGCTTGGAAATATTCCCCTCACAAGACAGGATTCTCACTGAGAAAATATTAATCATGTCTATGCCTGTTTTTTTTCTTCCTCTCCATCCTAGGAAATGTGACTGGAAACAGTAACTCTACATTTATTTCAAGTGGGCAAGTAATGAATTTCAAGGGAGATATCATTGTAGTCTACGTTAGTCAAAACTCCCAGGAGGGCCCCACCATCCCAGGAACTGTGGGGGAAAACGTCGGCAGCCCAGTGCAAGAGGAAAACACGAACCGCTGTGACACTTTTGCAGGGAATGATCTCAATTTCAAAGAGAAATGCGCTGAGAGCTCCCTGGGGAACTCTTCTGAGGATAAATCGCAGAACTGCGTAAGAGAACATACTGGAAGATCAGGGCCAAGGATTCAAGAGGAAACCCAACATGGCCCTGATAAAGAGATTGACCAGAGCATGGCCTCTCGACCCGTGCAGGAGGAGGGAAGACCCAAATCCCATTCCCTGAAAGCTTGGCAGTGATGGGAAGCTAAAACTGCCTCTGACTCTTCCCAAAGGGTGTCAGAACCCAAAGAGCACCAGCCCAGGAGTCAGTAGACTTGGGATCTAGTCTCAGATCTGCTACCAACCAGTCATGTACCCTCAGACAGGAATTTCCCTTCTCTGGGTCTCATTTGCTTCATCTGTAGAGTGAGGGGTCCGTACCAGATGACTTATAAAGTCTCATTCCTCTCCAAGGTTCAGTGATTCTAATCATTCTCCCTGTTAATTCTCAGTCATGCACACAGCCATACATATAATGTAATAAGCATGGATCAGGGATGTCAAATTCAAATCTACAAATGGACCAGTTTTCATCTTTGGAAAATACTAGCACACTGAACAGATGATGAATCACAAATAGGGTCAAAATTAGGAATCTAGGGGATGGACAATAGGTAGGAGTTGATCTTCCTATGACCCACCTATTTATGGGTCATCACCTGTAAATCCTTCTGTCATTTGATAGTTTGCTATTTGGTCTTTTCTCTTTTATTTTAAAATCTATGGCACTCTTTCTACCTTGCTCTTCACAGATATGGTTAATTTTGAAAGCTCTATTTTTGTATTTCTGGTAACTGTAGCTGTGCCAATTGAATTTATAGTTCCCGTGATGGTTAATGCCATCGGCACATGCTGCTCCTTCATTCACATTTATCCCCATGCTCAGCCGCCTGTATTTCCCTTTTGTTGTCTTACCTATCATTTCTCCTATTGTGTCCCTTTGATTCCATTTTGGTGACCACATGGCCTTCTTCTGGGTGTACATTTGTACACTTTCCATCTCAGCTATTCTTGATGTTTTCACTTTTTTTATTGACCATTTCTCAACAATTCTAAGTGGTGCCTTCTTTCTACTTTAATTCCCTCCCTTTTGTATAGACAAGACATCTTCATATTTTGGAAATAGCCTTTTGAGGGGTCTGTTATGGAAGGCAGAATGGTTCAATAGAAAAATCACTTTCTGTGAAATTAGTGGGCCTAGGTTCAAATCCCACTTGTGTGAGCCTGGGCAAGCTATTTAACCTTTATGGCCTCGGTTTCTTAATGTAAAACATAAGGGCCAGTAAATGCCTTCTGAGGTCCATTAAAGCTCCGGATCTATGATCTTATGTGTCTTGTCTGTGGCAAATTCTATGAGACCAGAAATATTTAAAAAGAAGCTTTAGGAAAACACTGGAAAATTTGAGAACAAAAATTTTCCCCATATGGACTTTTTCAGTTTTTCCTTTTTTTTTTTTTAAACAAGAGATAACAAAATTTTTTCCTCTGAAATGTTCTGCTCTTCCTCACTGTAAGCCAAGCTTTCCTATCTCTCAATAGAACTAAATATAGGCATTCTAAAATATAATTGAATTGTTGAGTGCCATTTGACACTCTTGTTCTAGAGGTTTTTATTTGTTTTGTTTTATTTTTTAGCAACTAAATGGCAAGAAAAAAAAAATCCAAGTCACCATGAATTATGGCCCCTGAGTGTCTTCTTGGAAAGACACTCAGGGACCATAAAATAATGAAGATGGGCTAAATGATCTCGTTAAGCCTCATTGTAGCTCTAACACTCTAGGATGCCATGACCCTAGAGTTCTGAGCTAACTGGGTTATTTTTACTGTCACTTTCATCCAATTAGTGTGAACTATAACTCTGTGCCTCTATTTTCTAACTTAAAAGGAGAGACAGAGACATGTATAACACAGTGTCCAGAAAGTTAGCCCTCTAAGGCAAAAAAACCTGAGTTCAAATCCTGCTTCTAACGCATTACTGGCTGTGAGATTCTGGGCAAGTCCCTTAACTTCTTAGTGTGCCTGGGAGCTCTCTAAGACTAAAGTTGCAGAGCAACTATTGATCTACATTGGTAGAGGGAATTTCCCCACTGGGAGTTCCCTACACCATTGAAACCACAAGTTTCCCCTTCCCTACACCCCTTGGAACCACAAGACCCCACTCTCCAAAAAAATGGGGATAATGATACCTGTCAAATGTTTTTTCCTACATAGAATGATCATGAGGATGAGAGAAGAATGTTGGGAAATTACTTTGAGATCCTTAATGGAAGGTGCTATAAAATATAGGAGGGAAAAAAGAATAGGATTTTCCTTCTTGACCCCTGTCTGTTCTTCATGTTGATGCTTAAAATAAATAAGAAATTAGAAATCAATCATTTGGGAAAGGTAAGTCTATACCTGACACCACTGTATACCACAGAGATGTATACTACTGATGTAAGCAGAATGAGAAGAGGAATTGGTGAAAGGTTGTTTAACTTAATATTAAAATGATATTTGACCCAAAATGTTGCTTTTTCATAGCTTGGTGAAATGTGAATCTTTACAACATCATTTCCTAACCTTTTCACATATAGCATCCCTCTTGCTATCTCTATGATCCTCGGTGGTTCACTCTTAGTCTTCTCACCAGAGAAGCTAGATAGTAAGACGCTGCTGTGGGAACACAATCACCTCTTCTATTTAGTTTACTCCTTTCTTGACTTTACCAGATAACTTCCCAAAGTTCATCCTATGAAATGCTAGAAGGGAAGAAGTTTCTTCTCCACTCTCAACTCTGATACCAGGAAATGCAAGATTTTGTTTTCTTTTTTAATCCAAAGGGAAAGTATAAACCAGCCAATTTCAGGTTCAGAGTAGCCCTCCCTACCCCAACACCACACACCTCCCTTGTGCTTTTACAAAATGAATTCTATGATAACGCCCCTACAATATATCATTTCATAAAAATAAACTATTATAAAATGAGTACCTGGCCCCTAGTATCTAGTAGGGGGCACTGTCCAGCCTGTGGTCAGAAGCTGAGAATAGTTCATCTAGAAGGTGGAGGAAGCTGATAAAGGGAACCAGTAATTTATAGACAGTGGAATCTTAAGGGTTAGGAAGGCTCTTAGAGGGGGAAAATTTCCAGGGCCTCCTGAGTTAGTATGTTGCAGTGGCCCTAACCAATTTTGTTAGAAGCATTGTGAATTCTAGAACTTAAGTGAAATTATTTATGTAAACACAAAATTTCATTCTGAAGCCAAGTACAAATAATGTTCAGAAATACAAATGATGCTTGGATTCCTCGTGTTCCAAGAGGTTGCAGGACTACTTGATGGAGCTTAATCCCCTGGGCATGATACCAAAGGGGATGGCTTGAGAAGTCCTTCCCAAGTCTAGAATTCTACAGTCTATAATTATCAATCTCTTCCATTTGGACAGATAATCAAAAATTGCCTGTATTTATAGAAAATCTAGAAGATTGATAGAATTGTTTTATACTTAGGCAGAGTGAGTAAAGGGATTTGTCTCTTTTTACAGGAATGGGTTAGAGATTTAGTATTTACCAGCTGACTAATTCAACAAATTAGTTTGTTGGCATTTACAATGTTAGGAGAGAGTAATAGCCTTCAACAAGTTAATTTGGCCTCAAGGAAGAAATATGGTTGTTTTGAGGGTTTGGTTTTTTTTTGTTTTTCTTTTGCTATATGAGAAGTTATGATGATACAATAAGAGACTAAATGTGTGATTTTATTCATATGGGGAAATCTCAAATGGGGGGACTCTCTCTACCAATGTAGGTTAGCATCTTTAGAACCTTCTGTGCAAGTTAGGGTCTAAGACAGTTTTCTAGACCATTGAGAGATTAAGAGACTTGTCCAGTGTCACAAAACGAGTGTATATCAGAGGTAGGCTTGAAACCTCAATCTTTCTGCCTCTGAGGCAGGCTCTCTGTCTACTACACCATACCTCATCTGATTAATGTGAAGAAACTCTATACTTAGAATGGATATAATAATGGAATGTTGTCCTAAATTCTGGTGGAAGTGGGAAGGGGAAGGGGGAAAGAAAGTGCAAATAAATCATTGAACAAAATTTGCTTTAATTGGCATGCTCATTCTATTTTGGTGGTAGAGAAAGAAGGAAACTTTCTAGAAGAGATCCTAAGCAGAGAAAGAAGAGCCAAACTGCTTGAAAGAAACCAGACACTGCAGCAACTATTTAAGCTTTGTATAAACACAAGGACAAGGAAGCAGGGCAATAGAGTTTACTTCATTTTCTTGGTGAATCAGCCTTTTGAAACCTGTTTCTCAGGCTGCTGAGAGGAATAATCGATAAAAACAGTGTTGAAGTAGTTTGCAAACATAAAGCTTTATCGAGCTGCAAAATAATGATAATTAGCCTGGGCAAGATGTAGGCAGAACAATTTTACAACATGGGTAACTGAAACTTAAGGAGTAACTGAAAGTGCCGGTGAAGGCAGAACTAGAATTTGCAATGCATTAGTCTCTATCACAGCCCGAAGCTTAAATTACAACTTTGGTAATAATCCTTTTGTACTAATATCCTGGGGAGCTGAATGCACCAAGAGTCCAAGGCCCGGGAAATATGTGTCACATTCTTCAATAAATCAAAAAGTCTCTGGTTCTATTGGTGAGGACATTCAGCCCATCTCTCCACACCCTAACAGACAATTTCCTGAGATGCTATGGCCAGTAATGTTCATTGCCTGGTAAGTGAAGTTTCTAGGGATTGCTTCTTCAAATTTAATGAACTCAGTTCCTAACATAGAGAGTCTGCCACCAAGCCAAAATTCAGTCTTTTTGTCTTGTTAGGACTTCTAAGAGTTTACTTTCTACTAAGATATGGTCATTTCATCATTGTACTAATCAATGCCTCTTAATTACCTGTTGAGTATACTGCTTTGTATTCAAGGTTCTTTATAATTTGGCTTCACTCTATCTTTCCAGGTATGTCTTGCAATCTTCCCTTCCTTCTATTCCAGCTAAATTGGTCAACTCTCAGTTCCATAAATATGCTCAATTCCCACTTCCACATCTTTACTTATTCTGAATTATATGTTATACTTGGAATCAATAAAGGAAACATTTATTGACTGCTAGGTACGGGAAAATGAAACAGTCCCTACTTTCACAGGGCTTATGTTCTAAATGCTCTCCTTTCTCATTTGCTGTTGAGTTTCTACTGCCACTCTCTTCCTGCTTCCAACCCATCCTTGCCAGAATTCTCTCTTGCATATATAAACCTGGTTATACCACCCCTTTGTTCAAAAAACTTCAGTGATTTCCTTTTACCTCCTGAGTAAAATTCCAACTCCACTGCTTGGCCTTCAAAGGCCTCCACAGCCTGATGCTGTCCTGCATTTCCATCCTGTTATTATTTCTCTCCATGCTCTCTTACTAAACTTGAGGACTCTTAGTCCCCCAAACCTATCCTGTGCCTTTTTGCTTTTGCTCATGCCCTTGACTATATCTAGAAAGTTTTGTCTTCCCCTCTTTTCGGTCATTTTCAACTCTCCATGACCCCATTTTGGGTTTTCTTGGCAAACCACTGGAGTGGTTTGTCATTTCCTTCTCCAGATCATTTTACAGATGAGGAAACTGAGACAAACAAGGTTAAGTGACTTGCCCAAGGTCACACAGCTAGTGTCTAAGGCCAGATTTGAAGACTCTAGGCCTTGGCACTTTAACCACTGTGCACCTAGCTGCCTTTAAAGTCCAGCTGCTGGAAGCCTTCCCTGAATGGGGGAAGAGGGGTGTCAGCAAAGACTTTACTCAGGGAGTAGTCTAGGGGGTGCAGGGATAAGAACACTGGCCTTAGTGTCAAAAGAGTGATTATTTAGGGTCATTACTTAGGCTTCTTAAAAATTAGCTTAAACATGCCACATTCATAGATCCACGGGCTCTCGGGTAGTGGAACAGACTATGCCAGATATCTTATATTTGCATCCCCAGCATCCTGGAAGTGGTAAGTGCTTAATAAATATATAAATAGACTACCTTGGAATGGGTGTAAAATGAACACTATAAATGGTTTATATCCAACTCTGCCTTTCTATGGTTTCCTACCCCAGACTGCCAGGGGCTTGGTGTCAGAAGACCTAGGTTGAAGTTCCCGCTGCAGTGTTAGTTGTGTGACTGTGGGTAAGTCATAGAAATCTCTGAGCTTCTCCATCTGTAAAGTGGGGATAATGATATTTGTGCCACCTACCAGGGTTATGAGAAATGTATGTTTCAAGCCATATATTGCTATATAAATATGAATTATTGCTGTCATTCTCACTCTAACTTGAATTCCTCTTCCCCCGGGTGTACTATTTTCTAAGGGGAAAGAAAAGCAAGAGACATTTTCACAGCAAAACCTAAGAGGTTTCTAACCCTATAAGAGCTCCTCTAGTCAGTACTTACAATCCACGAGAGCCAGAAAGCTCAGTTCTCACACAGCAATGAGACACGCTGAAACCATTTCCATAAGTCAAGCATGCCAAACATATAAGCTTATATAAGTTTACCACTTATATAAGAAAATATAAGCTTACCGCTAGGCCCATGGAAAATCTTTAGAACCTGATGCTATCTCATAAAAAGCAGCTATAATTTAATGGCTCTGTTTTGTGAGGTCATATTTTATCCCACCGGTGAACCTGTTTGATAACCTGGCCATAAGGAAACCATCCAGACTGAACTTTCAGATAGATTCTGACTACTGCTATTGTCTTCATGTTTCTTTTCTTCCTCCCTCCCTCTCTCTCTCTTTCTTTTTATGGTCTGTCTCCTGATTACCTTAAATTTTCCTAATTACAGACAGGTCAGAATTTGTGAACACAACACATTAAGGATCCATCCATACAGACAGGCAGCAGGAAAGCCTGAATTACCAATAACCCATACATAGAAATGGGCATGATGGGAGTCCGAGTCTGGCTTGTGCCCACTGTGAGAGCAGCTGCTGCTTGTTGCCCAAGTCAGAACACCTAAGCTGAGACTCATCTAGACAGAGAGAGGTATAGAG